GATCCGCAAAGTGTGTAGCTAACTTGGAGATTCTCCTAGAAGACAAAGTGAAGATTTTTGGAATAGAAGTGGAAATAATCGATATTAATGATAACTCGCCCAGCTTTGGAACAGAGCAGAGGGAAATAAAAGTTGTTGAAATTGAAAATCCCGGTACTAGATTTCCGCTCCCTGAAGCTTTTGATCCGGATATAGGGGTGAATTCCCTGCAGGGTTACCAGCTCAGTTCGAATGCTCACTTCTCTCTGGACATGCAAAGCGGGGCTGATGGGATCAAGTATCCGGAGTTGGTGCTAGAACGAGCCCTAGATCGTGAGGAAGAGGCGGTTCACCACTTGGTTCTCACTGCCTATGATGGAGGCGACCCAATTCGCTCCAGCACTGCCAGGATTCACATAACACTCATGGACACCAATGACAATGCTCCAGTGTTCAGTCAACCGGAGTACCACGTGAATGTTCAGGAGAATCTGCCCGTGGGCACTCAGCTGCTCACCATAAAAGCCACTGATCCCGATGAAGGGTCCAATGGAGAAGTGACATATTCTTTCCGGAAAGCAAGAGACAAAGTAGCTCAGCTGTTCCAGTTGAATGCTGTCAGTGGGGACATAACAGTGTTAGGGGATCTGGATTATGAGGAGTCTGGATTCTACAATATCGATGTAGAAGCCCACGATGGACCTGGTCTTCGAGCCAGAAGTAAGGTGCTAGTGACAGTTCTGGATGTAAATGACAATGCTCCGGAAGTCACAGTTACATCTCTCACCAGCTCTATCCAAGAGACTTCTTCCCCAGGTACAGTAATTGCTCTTTTCAATGTGCATGACAGTGACTCAGGAGAGAATGGTCTTGTCACTTGTTCTATTCCCGATAATCTTCCATTTAGGCTTGAGAAGACCTATGGGAATTATTACCGATTGTTGATACACAGCACTCTAGACAGAGAGGAAGTCTCAGAATATGACATCATGGTAACTGCCACTGACCAGGGAACACCTCCACTGTCTACAGAGGTCCATCTTTCATTGCAAGTGATGGACATCAATGACAACCCACCTACCTTCACTCATGCCACCTATTCTGCCTACATTCCAGAGAATAACCCTAGAGGAGCTTCTATCTTATGTATGACAGCCCAGGACCCTGACAGTGGTGAGAATGCCCAAGTAACCTACTCTCTGACAGAGGACACCATCCAAGGGGCACCTCTGTCCTCCTACATCTCCATCAACTCCAACACGGGTGTCCTGTATGCGCTTCGTTCCTTTGATTATGAGCAGTTCCAAGACTTGCAGCTGCTAGTGATCGCCAGGGACGGTGGAAACCCACCCCTCAGCAGCAATGTGTCACTGAGCCTGTTTGTGCTGGACCAGAATGATAACACACCTGAGATCCTCTACCCCACCTTCCCCACCGATGGTTCCACAGGTGTGGAGCTGACACCTCGCTCTGCCGAGCCCGGATACCTGGTCACCAAGGTGGTGGCAGTAGACAGAGACTCAGGACAGAATGCCTGGCTGTCCTACCGCCTGCTCAAGGCCAGTGAGCCAGGACTCTTCACGGTGGGGCTGCACACAGGTGAGGTGTGCACAGCAAGGGCCCTTGTGGACAGAGATGCTCTCAAGCAGAGCCTGGTGGTGTCTGTGCAGGACCATGGCCAGCCCCCTCTCTCAGCCACTGTCACACTCACCATTGCGGTGGCTGACAGCATCCCTGATGTTCTGGCAGATTTGAACAGCATCAGCACTCCCACTGACGCAGACCATCCAGCACTCACACTGTACCTAGTGGTGGCAGTGTCCGTGGTGTCTTGTGTCTTCCTCGCTTTTGTCATCGTGCTGCTGGCACTTAGGCTGCGGCGCTGGCACACAGCTCGTCTGCTTCAAACAGCACATAGTGGCTTGGCAGGTCTGCCAGCCTCGCACTTCATGGGTGTGGATGGGGTGCAAGCTTTCCTGCAGACCTATTCCCATGAGGTGTCTCTGACCGCTGATTCAGGGAAGAGTCACCTGATCTTCCCTCAGCCCAACTATGCAGACACGCTCATCAGCCAGGAGAGCTGTGCGAAAAGCGAGCCTCTCCTGATACCTCAGGATTTACCTCAGTCACAGGGAGACCCCAGTCATCTTCAGGTACGTTATCCACAGTTCTATAAATATATCTTATACAGGGAAACATCAAACATTGTAAATGCCTTCAGTTTAATTAGATAGGACTTGTCAAGAGCACCTCTTTATTAACAAGTTGTTGCTTTAAAGGGGGTGAATCAGTAATGATTACTGAAATTTACCACACAAAAAGTTATTTGCTAATTCATAGGTTTTTCATCTTTCTGTTTTATGATAGTGATTAAACTCAGGAATACTGGGCTTACAAAGCAAACCCTACCACTGAGACCCCTCTCCTGGCTCCTCTTGTTTATTATTTATCCTTTCAAGTCTTTGTTCAGTTATAGTTTTAACAGGAATTTCTTAATTTTATACCTTAAAGACACTCAATTTGTGTGTATATATATGCATGTGAGAGACAAAAAGGGAGCGTGTTTGTGTGTGTGTGTGTGTGTGTGTGTGTGTGTGTGTGTATTTGGGCTCTTGATCAGATTTTTTCCTCAAGTATGATTCTCTAACTCTTGAGCCAAACTTTCAGTTCTGGCATTTGGTTGTTTAATTGGAGATAATAATCTTGTGGCTTTATCTGCTTTGTTGGCTTCAAACTTTGAACCTTAGATCTTTCCCTCTTGAGTAGGTATGAACCACTGGCTTCTGGTTCTATTGACTTTTCAAAATTCCCTTTTGTATGAACCTTACTGAAGGGGCAGATTATACCTGTGAAATTGATGCCAATTAGTGAAGTCATAGTTGCAGCATTATTTTCTTTGAAGCTAATATGGAACTTGCATAGAGTATGTTTATATTTCTTGTTTTCACCCCAGTTTTAGTTGATGTTTACTTTTCCTTCTGCAAAAAAAAGTATTTCCATTATAACTATACAGTAACAACTTTGAGGGAGAGAAAGTTAAATATTTTTTCAATGAACTGGTATACTTTCTTTTTATTGTTTTTATAAAGGTGGTATACAGAGACATTAACATTTTTGTCCTGGGGCTGGAGCTCAGGCCATGAGCACTATCCTTCAGTTCTTCTGCTCAACGATAGTGCTCTACTGCTTTGAACCACAGCCCACTTGTGATTCTCTGGTGGTTAATTGCAGATAAGAGTGTCATGGACTTTCCTTCTCAGTGTGGCTTTGAACTGAGATCTTAAGATTCCAGGCTTCTGAGTAGCTAGGATTACAGGTGTGAGTCACCAGCATCTGGCATGGTTACCATTTCATTGGCCAGGTAATGAGTATATTTCTTTTGGGGGAATATCAACCTTTTACTTCATTATCAAAGCATTTCCCTTTTCTGAGACAAAGTCTTAGTATTTACGCCATGCTGGCTTCAAATTTATCCTTCTCCTCCTGCTTCAGTATCCTAAGTGCTAGGATTAGGGACATATTCCACAATACCTAGCTCAAATGTTTTGTTATTGCTGATCTGATCATACTGACTTTCCTATGATTATCAAAACATTTTCATATTGTTTTCACTCATAGCTGATTGAAGGAGTGATTCTAATAATTTCTACATGGTCTATCCTGGCATTAACCTTGAGTCCCACCTTGATTTCTAAGAAAAAAACAACTTCTTAAGGCTTGTTGTTGCTGTTCATCAGCTAAACTTGATACAAAGGTTGAGTAACTTGGTTTCTGGAATTATGTGATCCATGGTAATTCCTAAATTATCATCTCTACCAATTGGTATGGCTACACGTGGTTTTTGGCTATGTGTGTCACTATGTGGCCCTTGAATGACCAGGTAAAGGATAAACTATTTTGTCTCTAAGGGATATGAAATACGTTTGTTTCTGCAAATAGATCTGTGAGTTAATTAAAACTCCTGAATGTGTACAACTATACATAGTAGTAGCAATGATTGCAGAATGTGGCTTAATCCAATTGAAGAGGGAGAGCTGTAAGTCCTACATAGTTTTACATGGATGGGAAGTTGTGGTGCAATACAGACTGTATGGGATAGAATGCAATTAGAAATATTGGGGAGAAAAAATAAAAGGTGGGTAATGACAGACAGCTTACATCTGAGGACATATTATTGAAGATACTAATGTCAAACATTACTGTTAACCCTAAAATGTGTCAAATACATTTATAATCTCAACAGCAAGAATATATCATAGAATCAGCAAGGTACATGTCTTAAAACCTAAAAGAGAAAGATGCAAATTTACATCATATTAGAAAATACATTTTCACGTCAGTGACCAGTGGATTTCTTTTAGGAAACATTTCTGATGGAACTAAGCAATATCTATACAATGAAATAACTACTACTAATATGAATACTTTACATCCTTGTATGAAATGAGCTAAACTGAATGAGTCCCTAGCACTGAAAATGTGTGTATGTACTTAATGAGAACATGAAGGTGCAGAATATATGTGTGTGGTTACATTTGTAAATAAGGAGATAACTTAAGAATATGCTTGCTATACAAAACCTATCTTTGAAAGTGTACAAAAGATACAGCACACTCATTTCTCTTAAGATAGGTGCATTACATGATAAAGTAATGAGAATAGATAGCTATATGCCATTTGCACCTCTTAAATTTGTATCAATATCAACATATTGCCTACTGTTAAAAGAAAATACAATGTAAAAAGAAAACTTCAAAAGTTCACGAGCCATCGGTACAGTTTCCTGAGAAACCCTCTAGGCGTCGCTGTAGGTCAAAAGAAAAGAGAGACCTTATTCTGAGAAGCATTTGAGAGACTCCGGAGTAACTTCCTGCCTCAGACCAATCACGCAGAAGAGACCCGTACGTCTTTCTCATATAGAAAACAGACGCGGAACAGGGACCTCCCCGGAATTCTGCGATCCACGGAGGATAATTCCTCTAGCCGCAAAGGAGCAGAGCAGCAGCGGAAGAAGACAGAAGATGTGGCCAAGCGCGGGAAGAAGCAGCTGGGCACTGTGGCTGCAGGTACCCTTGCCCTTCCTTCTGTCTTTGTTCTGCCGGGCTCTCCCGGACCCGATCCGCTACTCCATTCCGGAGGAGCTGGCCCAGAACTCGCTGGTGGGAAACCTCGCCAAGGACCTGGAGCTGGGTGAGGACTTGGCGCCCCGGAAGCTGAGAGTTAGTGCTGAGAAGGAATACTTCACTGTTAACCCAGAGAGCGGGGATTTACTTGTAAGTGACAGAATAGACAGAGAGCAGATTTGCGGGAAGCAGCTTCTGTGTACTCTGGATTTCGATATTATCGCTGAAAACCCATTGAATATTTTCTATGTAGCAGTAATCATTCAGGATATAAATGACAATGCTCCAATATTCAAACAGAATAAGAGTGATTTAAAAATTGGAGAATCCACCAAGCCAGGTAAAACATTTCCACTGGAACCAGCTCTGGATTCAGACTCTGGTGCTAACTCGCTGCAGAGATACCACCTTAATGACAACGAATATTTCGATGTGGCAGAAAAACAGACTCCAGATGGGCATAAATATCCAGAGTTGATTCTGAAACAATCTCTAGACAGAGAAGAACATAATTTTCACCAATTGGTCCTCACAGCTGTGGATGGAGGGGTTCCACCTCAAACTGGCACCACCGAGATTCGAATCCAAGTCACTGATGCCAATGATAACCCTCCAGTATTCAGCCAGGATGTGTACAAAGTCACCTTGAGAGAGAATGTGCCCCCAGGCTTCTCAGTGCTGCAAGTGAAGGCCACCGACAAAGATGAGGGCATCAATGCAGAAATCACCTACTCCTTTCATAATGTGGATGAAGAAGTAAAACAGCTTTTCGACTTAGATGAAAGAACAGGAGAAATCAAGACGAAGGGTAATCTGGATTTTGAAACTGCTCATCGTTACTCTATAGGTATAGAAGCAAAAGATCCTGGCGATCTAGCATCTCATTGCAGTATCCAAGTCGACATTCTGGATGAGAACGATTGCGCACCTGAAGTGATTGTGACTTCAGTGTTTACTCCTCTACCAGAAGATTCGCCACCAGGAACAGTAGTCGCCTTGATCAAAACGAGAGACAGGGACTCTGGAGAAAACGGAGAAGTGAACTGCCAAGTCCTGGGAAATGCCCAGTTTACATTGAAATCTTCCTCCAACAACTACTACAAACTAATGACAGACCGGCCTCTAGACAGGGAGGAGATACCAGAATACAACATCACCATTGCAGCCACTGACAGGGGCAAACCGCCCCTCTCCTCCAGCATAACCCTCACTCTGGATGTATCTGACATCAACGACAATGCACCTGTTTTCCACCAGGCCTCCTACGTGGTCCACGTGGCTGAGAACAACCCTCCCGGAGCCTCCATCGCCCAAGTCAGCGCCTCCGACCCAGACCTGGGGCCCAACGGCCAAGTGTCCTACTCCATCCTGGCCAGCGACCTGGAGCCAGGCGCGCTGTCGTCCTACGTGTCGGTGAGCGCGCACAGCGGGGTGGTGTTCGCCCAGCGCGCCTTCGACCACGAGCAGCTGCGCTCCTTCCAGCTCACTGTGCAGGCGCGCGACCAGGGCTCGCCCCCGCTGCGCGCCAACGCCAGCCTGCGCGTGCTGGTGGGCGACCGCAACGACAATGTGCCGCGCGTGCTCTACCCCGCGCTGGAGCCCGACGGCTCGGCGCTCTTCGACATGGTGCCGCGCGCCGCCGAGCCCGGTTACCTGGTCACCAAGGTGGTGGCGGTGGACGCCGACTCTGGACACAATGCCTGGCTGTCCTACCACGTGCTGCAGGCCAGCGATCCCGGCCTCTTCAGCCTGGGGCTGCGCACCGGCGAGGTCCGCACCGCTCGCGTCCTGGGGGACAGGGATGCGGCCCGCCAGCGCCTGGTGGTGGCTGTGCGCGATGGTGGACAGCCGCCCCTCTCGGCCACTGCCACTCTACACCTCATCTTCGCAGATAGCCTGCAAGAAGTGTTGCCAGACCTGCGCGATGACCCTTCGCCCTCGGACCCTCAGACAGAACTACAGTTTTACCTGGTGGTGGCCTTGGCCTTGATCTCTGTACTCTTTCTTCTCGCTGTGATTCTGGCCATCGCCCTGCGTCTGAAGAACTCCTCTGGTCCAGCTGCCTGGGGCTGCTTTCAGCCTGCTCTCAACTCCAAGTCTGGTCCTGGGGTTCTCTCCAGTTACAATGCGGGAACCTTGCCCTATTCCTACAACGTGTGTGTTGCCTCACACTCAGCCAAGACCGAGTTTAATTTTCTCAATGTGTCCCCGGAAGTGGCTCCCGCTCAGGACCTCCTCTGTGATGAAGCCTCTTGGGTTCCATGTACAGCTCTTGGAGACAATATTGCCCCCCTTGCCTCAGAAAATGTTTTAAAGGTAAGCTTTAATTCTTTTTTACTTGTAATCTCAGTGTTTCTTAACTAATGGCTAAATTGGGATAGTATGCTCATTTCATATATCCTTGTCTGCTCAAATTTGAGCTATGCTCTTTCTGCCTTTGGTGTTTTTATCCAGTGAAATCTGCAATTAAAATTTTTTTGTAGGGCTGGGAAGGTGGCTCAGTGGTAGAGCACTTGCCTTGCATGCATGAGGCCCTGGGTTCGATTCCTCAGCACCACATAAGCAAAAAGAAAAAAGCGCAAGTAGGGCTGTGGCTCAAGTGGTAGAGCGCTAGCCTTGAGTTAAAGAGTTGAGGGACAGCGCCCAGGCCCAGAGTTCAGGCCCCACGACTGGACCCCCCCAAAAATAATTGTAACTGAATAGAGAGGTTAATTTATCCATAATTGAAAGTGTTTGTACACAGGGTACTTCTTTTTCTTCCTTATCTTTACATTCCATCCATCTGAAGGTTTGTCTTTATTGGAAACCTAAGTGACTTCTTTCATCTTAAGAGTCTTTGTTACTAGAATTTTAGTTTCACTTTCTCTTCGCCTCACTGTATGTTAGAGTAAGGAACATTTGGCGGTGGGGGTGCATTTTAGGTAATGTTGTGGCTTATTAACGATGGAACCTGGGATAGCATTGTTTCGTTGACTTGCATGTCAGCACTTTGTCTTAACAATCTCTCTTGAGATCCCAGACCAATTTGTAAAGGATGGCTATATTTGAAGTCTTAACTTATATGATAAGTACATTTTAATAAATGTGATTTCTCACCCTGAGATAGATAGATAGATATTGAGAACAATTGTACTGTAGCAAATCTTTTCCATCCATGTTATTGTTTCTGCTATATACTTAAAGTTCTATTATTTAAAAATTTTAAGTCATAGATATAAAATATCTTTATTTAAAACTTTTCCTACCAAGGAGTTATTAGGTAAAATGCCTTTCCATAAGAGTTTCTGAAATGCACTTTTCCATTCATTATTCTTTCTTTGTTATTTTATAATGGTGATAATAGCAAAACAAACAGGCTACTCACTGCGGCTTGTCATTATGAAATGAGCTTGGTTTTGTAAAATGTGTAACTGCAAGTGTTTTAATATACTACTAAGAAAATATAAATAACACACTGTTAAATGAACTCAGACTCTTAATTTGAGATACCACATCTATATTCTTAAAATCCAGAAAGTTTCTCAAGGACTTCACAAGTAACAAAGGCATTTTTCTGCCTACGACAGCTAATGCAATTTGTATAAATAAATAGGTCATTTTTGCTGTAGTAGGATGTGCATCAGGGCCTTGCTCTATGACTTGAGCCACATTTCCAGTCCGTATTTTGATACTTAGGTTTGAATTTAAGGCTGGTACTCTACTACTTAAGCCATAATTGCTAGCCTGGCTTTTGCTGGTTAATTGGATACTGAGTCTCTTGGACTTTTCTTCAGCATTAGTTTTGAAGTTTGAACCTTTAGATCTCAGTCTCTTAAGTAACTACGTATGAGCTACCCACATCCAGCTTGTAGGAGTAGACTTTTTTTAATAGAGTTGAGAGATTGATTTTTTTTCCTTAGTGCTCATACATATTGGGCACAATTTCATAAATATATACCAAATGAAAAATACAAAGTACTGAATCCAAAAAAGTAAGGATTTCAATGTCCTGATTAAGCAAGCTCCATGTATATTGAGGTAAGTAAAGGACATAGGCTCAATGGTGTATAAAACAGAACTTTTCTAAGTGGGGAAAAAAAGCTAATAATTATATTTATATATAATTAATAATTATATTTATATCTCATGGTTGTGGAAGTCTTTCAGTACTTCCAAATTAAAGCTTAATGAAATATAAATGGTTCTGCACAATAATATATTAAGGATATAGCAAAAATATTGGAAATAAAAATATAACTAAACTGATAGGAAATAAAAATAGAATTGGTGTAGTAACTGGTTAGGACTCTGGGCGTCGCTGTCGACCAAATTGGGGAAAAAACTGTCGTAGAAGCAGCAGATCTGCTGCTTTCGTACTAAATACAGACCACATAAGCGCCTTGTAAAAAAAAAATCCACCTATCCCATCTCGGCCAGAGAATAAACTCCTCTTGGCTCTAGAGAACTAAGGGAACCGCAGACTGAACCAGGACTGAGAGAATTGTAGCAAAAGAAGGCAATGGCCGATCCTCTAAAGAGCCGGGGCCGCGGAGACCTGCTTTGGTTCTTCATGCTTCTGGGGACGCTGTGTGAAACAGCAGCGCAGATCCGCTACTCCGTGCGGGAGGAGCTGGACAAAGGCTCCTTCGTGGGCAACATCTCCAAGGACCTGGGACTGGAGCCCCGGGAGCTGGCGCAGCGCGGAGTCCGCATCGTCTCCAGAGGTAGGACGCAGCTTTTCTCTCTCAACCCGCGGAGCGGCAGCCTGGTCACCGCGGACAGGATCGACCGGGAGGAGCTCTGCGCCCAGAGCGCGCCGTGTCTGGTGAGCTTTAATGTCTTGATTGAGAATAAAATGAAAATTTACGGAGTAGAAGTGGAAATCATTGATATTAATGATAACTTCCCGCGATTTAGGGATGAGGAGTTAAAAGTCAAAGTCAATGAAAATGCAGCTGCAGGTACGCGGCTAGTGCTTCCCTTTGCGCGGGACGCGGATGTGGGGGTGAACTCCCTCCAGAGTTACCAGCTCAGCTCCAATCTGCACTTCTCTCTGGATGTGAAGAGTGGACCTGATGGGCAAAAGTACCCGGAGCTGGTGTTGGAACAGCCCCTGGACCGTGAGAAAGAGGCTACTCACAACCTCCTCCTCACAGCACTAGATGGCGGGGACCCAGTCCATTCCAGCACCACGCTTATCCACGTGACCGTACTCGATGCCAACGACAATGCACCCCGATTCAGCCGAAGCGAATATAGAGTGAGTGTTCCTGAGAACATACCTGTGGGCACTCAACTACTCACGCTCACCGCCACCGATGCCGATGAGGGGATAAATGGGAAAGTGACCTACTCATTTCGCAATGAAGAAGACAAAATTGCAGAGACCTTCCAACTTGATTCCTACCTGGGGGAAATCTCAACTGTGCATTCACTGGACTATGAGGAAACGGGATTCTACCTCATGGAAGTGGTGGCTCAGGATGGAGGGGCTCTTCTCGCCAGCGCTAAGGTACTGGTCACAGTACAGGATGTGAATGACAATGCCCCAGAAGTGATACTCACCTCTCTCACCAGTTCAGTATCTGAGGACTGTCTACCTGGAACCATAATTGCGCTCTTCAGCGTGCATGATGGTGATTCTGGAAAGAATGGGGAGGTTTCGTGTTCTATTCCTGGGAACTTGCCTTTTAAATTGGAAAAGTCAGTTGATAATTATTATCATCTAGTAACAACAAGATCGTTGGACAGAGAAGAGACTTCAGAGTATAACATCACAGTAACTGTTATTGATGGTGGGACACCACCCTTATCTACAGAAAACCACATCTCCCTGAAAGTAGCAGACATCAATGACAATCCACCTGCCTTTTCTCATGACTCCTACTCTATCTCCATCCCAGAAAACAACCTCAGAGGTGTCTCCATCTTCTCTGTGACTGCTTATGACCAAGACAGTGGTGACTTTGCCCAAGTCACTTACTCCCTGGCTGAATACACATTTCAGGAAGCTCCTGTGTCATCCTATGTCTCCATTAACTCGGACACTGGTGTCCTGTATGCACTGCAGTCCTTCGATTATGAGCAGATAAGAGAGTTGAAGTTACTGGTGACAGCCAGGGACAGTGGGAGCCCTCCACTCAGCACCAATGTGTCAGTGAGCTTATTTGTTACTGACCAGAATGATAACATCCCAGAGATTCTGTACCCAACCCTTCCTACTGATGGTTCCACTGGTGTAGAGCTGGCACCTCGCTCTGCAGAGCCAGGATACCTGGTGACCAAGGTAGTAGCAGTGGACAGAGACTCAGGACAGAATGCCTGGCTGTCCTACCGCCTGCTCAAGGCCAGTGAGCCAGGGCTTTTCACAGTGGGTCTACACACAGGTGAGGTGCGCACAGCAAGGGCCCTGCTGGACAGAGATGTGGTTAAGCAGAGCCTCGTGGTGGTTGTCCAGGATCATGGCCAGCCGCCACTCTCAGCCTCTGTTACACTCACTGTGGCTGTGGCAGACAGTATCCCTGATGTCCTGGCTGACTTGGGCAGCATCAACACCTCCAGTGACCCTCAGGATTCAGACCTCACTCTCTATCTAGTGGTGGCAGTGGCCACTGTCTCCTGTGTTTTCTTGGCCTTTGTTATTGTGCTGCTGGCTCTCAGGCTGAGGCGCTGGTATATGTCACGCCTGCTTCAGTCTTCAAGAGACAGGTTGGCTAGCAGGCCAAATTCCCACTTTGTGGGTATGGATGGGGTCCAGGCTTTCCTGCAGGCCTACTCCCATGAAGTCTCCCTCACCACTGACTCTAGAAAGAGCCACCTGATCTTCCCCCAGCCCAACTATGCTGACAGGCTTATTAATGAGGAGAGCTGTGAGAAAAGTGAGCCTCTTCTCATAGCTGATAAGATGGATGCAAACAAAGAAGACCCTGGAGATGTTCAGGTCAGTTTTCTCTTTTGATAAGAATAGTTCAAGCATTTTATTCATTTGTTTCCTCAATTGCTTTCCTACCAAAGTCAAAATTGGGTAATTTTATAAAGTTGTTATTTTCTCTATTGGAAATTAACTTGATTTTGATAATTGATGCTCTCCATCTATTTTCAAATTATATTTGGTGCTTAATTTTTTCCATTAATCTGTGGACATTTTAGAAAATCTAGCTGTTAATAGTAGGCTTAAGGAAAGTGCCAGGTATAATCACCTTACTCAAATATTTTGTTAGTTTTTGACAGTTGTATTAACAGAAGAGTTGTTCTATTAGTTCATTGTTAAATATATTGTTCTCTTTTGGATATTTGCCAAGTTGCCATTAGTGAACATGTTTGGAAATGATATTAAATCAGATTTATATTTTTATATGCTTGAAATCACTATGAGAAAATGATTCACAGTATATACATAAATCAGTAGAATAATACAGAAAATGTTTGTACAAATATTATGTTAGAAATGTAGATTGAAGCCAAGCACTGATGGCTCATGCCTGAAATCCCAACTACTCAAAAGGCTGAGACTTGAGGATCCCAGTTCAAAGCTACTTCAGGCATTCTAATGTGAGAGACTCTTATCTCTAATAAACAAGCAAAAAGCCAGATTGGAAGTGGGGTTCAAGTTTTAGAGTGCCAGCCTTCAGTGAAAAAGTTTAGTGAGAGTATGAAGCCCTGTGTTCAAGCTCCAATACAGGTGCACACAATGCACGCATACACACACACGCACACACATACAGAAATACAAATTGAATTTGTAATTGGGACAATGTCTGTAGCATTCTGAAATCAGAATTGTTTGTAGGCTAGAAATGTAGTTCAAGTTGTAGAGCCTTTGCCTGGCAAGCATGGGGCCCAGAGTTTAAAGGCCAGTACCACAGGGAGTGGGACTCCAAAAGTTTAGGTTAACTTATAGAATTGATGAGTATGTTGAAAGATGTTGGCAAGAAGGAAACCTTGAATTATATTTTATTCTGTGATATAAGTTAAAGTTTCCAAAGAGTTAGATAGTGGTGCATTCAACAAATACAAATATATTATATACTTGGCAACCACTAGTTACAGGTAGCCCCTTCACTAATTGGAATGAATTTCTCCCAAATGTTTGCACTTCTACATGTATAGGTACCATTCTGCATTGTTGCAAGAGTCTAAGGCTTATATTTTTTAAAAATATGCAATCTAAGAAAAGCTTGGGCGGGTGCTGGTGGCTCCCACCTGTAATCTTAGCTACTCAGGAAGCTGAGATCTGAGGATTGTGGTTCAATGCCAGCCTGGGCAGGAAGGTCCATGAGACTCTTTTTTTTAATTTTATTTTATTTTATTTGTGAACATACTGTACAGAGGGGTTACAATTACATGGGTGGGATAATGCGTACATTTCTTACCAAGAATTGCAGCCTCCTCCTTTGTTTACCCTTCTCCATGAGACTCTTGTCTCTCTCCAATTAACCACTGGAAAACCAGAAGTGGTGGTGTGGTTCTAAGTGGTAGAGCATTGACTCGGGTGAAAAAGCTCAGGGACAGTGCTCAAGCCCTGAGTTTAAGCTCCACAATCAACAAAAAAAGAAAAGAAAAAAAAGGAATGGCTTTGAATTTTAAAGTTTTGGGGTTTTTTCTGTGAGGTGTGCTTATCTCAAATTAACAGATTTTTTTTGTCAGTCCTAGGGCTTGAACTCAGGGCCTGGACACTGGCTCTGAGCTTCTTTTGCTCAAGGCTAGCACTCTACCACTTGAGCCACAGCCACTTCCAGCCTTTTCTATTTATGTGGTTCTGAGGAATTGAACTCAGGGCTTCATGCATGCTAGGCAAGCACTCTACCACTAAGCCACATTCCCAGCCTGACAGATTTTTCTTTTTTTTTTCTTTTTTTTTTATTGTGAAAATACCGAGGGGTATTTTGTGAAAATACAAAGGGGTTACAATTACATGGGCAAGGTATTGAGTACATTTCTTATCAAACATTGTTGCCTCCTCCTTTGTTTCTGCTTCTCATCCCTTCCCATCTCCCCACCTCCTCCCCTCCCTCCCTCGGCTAAAGTTGTAAAGTTTGTTTTTCGACATAACAACTTGTACATCTCATTGTTGCAATGGGTCCACCAGTATCCCTATTTAAACGATTTGTTTTTTCCCTTCCCCTCCACAAATTATACCAACATTAAATACAGTGAAAACAGGGGTTATACTGTGGCGGAAGGACATACAAAGCAACAAAGAAATTATCTTATAAATATGTTAGAAACAATCACAAGAAAGAGAAACCATTTGAATCCTTATCTTGGGGTTTATTTTGCCTAACATCAACTGACCTTTTCTGCTTATCTCAGACATATACTAGTTATTGCAAATAAGGGAAACCATGGGACCTATGTTTCTTTGGGCCTGGCTTATTTCACTTAATATAATTTTTTCCAAGTCTTTAACAGATTTTTCTTAATGAAGTATTGGCCTCAAAAACTGAGTCTCAAATTTCTGATTTAGTGAAGATAATTATAACATGCTCCTCACTAAACAATTTTCAATCTGTCTAAATTTGTACTTTTAATTCTTTTTTTATATTGTACTTTTAATTCTTTAAACATCATCTGAAAAAAAGGGGAAATGGCAATGGGATATTAGTAGTAGTATTGTAGACTATGTTACTTGGCCATGTGAAAGGCTTATTGATACATTTTAAAACTTAGGAAAATTTTAATTTTTGAACATTTATTTAAAGAACATCCAATTATATGTATACATGGACAATTCTGACCTCAATATGCAATGTGTGTACTCCCTGAATTATGCATCCAAAGAGAAAAAAAGAATGTGTATGATAGATATTAACATCATTCACTCCCACATGGTGATCAACTTTGCCATTATTTATTTTTAAAAGTTATAGATTTGGGTATGTATCCAAAGATAACTTTTTGTGCAATGGGAAAGCATCTATAAACTACTGATAATTTGTTCCACACAACTAGTATATATATATATATATATATATATATGTATATATATTATGTATTCCATCCACCCTTAAATATTTGAATCTTCACTTTTGTATGTTTCTTAAAAGATATTTTTTCTATAGAAATTAATGCATTCATGCAATGATGGAGAGATACTTTTCTTGAATATATTTTGGAGCAGTCTAGATTTGACTTTTTAAGTAATTTTATTGTTATTACTAAGGTATTGTACAGATGCCTTATCATTTCATAAGTCAGATAATGAGTACACTTCTCTTTTCAGACAATGTCACCCCTTTCTTTACTTTCCCCTAATTTCCACGTCCATTTCCTGCCCCCAAGTTACATGTCATTTTCCACAGAGTGCATCCTGAATAGCATGATTGCATTTATTCATTTTTTCTCCCTCCATTTCTGTACCCACCCTTTAGTCCACCCAAAAAAAAACCATAAATTTGGAACACCATGAATTTTCATGTCATACTGCACAGAGGATATGCTGGTCTTCTCTGTTTCATTCCAGTTTTAGTGTATGTGCTGTCGAAGTAAGCACAATTTTTTTATATTTGTATAAAATAAAGATGGTAATGAATGGCTATCTAGAATCTTGAACACAATGAATGGTTTAATATGCCTCATTGTTTTTCCAATCTAAGGCAAGATCATATTGCTGCACACCTGCCATGTTTTTGAATAACAACATATTGCAGACATTGAAGATACTGACTTTAGGAAGATTTTCCAATTTGGAAATGTGATTAAAAATGTAAAACAAGCCAGGCACCAGTGTTTCTAAGATCTGAGGATTGGGGTTCCAAGCCAGCCTGGCAAGAAAGTTCATAAGACTCTTACCTATAACCAGCAAAAAACCAGAAGTGATGCATTAGCTCGAGTAATAGAGCACCACCCTTCAGTGAAAAGGACAGCACCCAAGCTCTGGGTTTAAGTGGAACTGCAAAATGCCTGTCAGAAGCATGGAAAATAGCATGATTAGTTAAAAGAGAAGAACATCAATTAAAATGTTTTTAGATGGGACAGAAGGTGTGGCTCTAGTGATAGAACATCTGCTTGGCAAACAGGAAGCCCTGAGTTTGAGCCCCAGTAGTACTTCAAGAAAAGGGTTTAGATTATCAGATAGTAACTTAGGACCAAGAAAAAGCAAGCATAAATTCCTTAACTTGAAGTATATAATTATGAGAACTCATACTTCATCACACAAATCCATGTAACTCATCATTGTTAAGCTACTTGGGAAGAAACAGTACAATTAAAGATTAAATAAGATAATATTGAAGAATATATATGAAATATTTTTTCAATCATATTTATTTAATCAGAAATAAACACATGGAAAGTAAGGAAAAAACTTCTTTTTAGAAGGACCATCAATCTCCTTGCTTACCTATTCATTCTTTGAGGAAAGAAGATGGTAAAGATAGTATTTTCATGTACACTTCTATCCCCTGCACCTGGGGGGCGGAGGCAGAAGGATCTTGAGCTTGCTACCAGCCTCAGCTACATGGTGAGATCTTGGATTAAGAAACTTAAAAAATATTTTCAGAAAGTGAAACAGGATAAAACTAAGACCCACAAGATTTACAACTTTCATAAGCTATAAGAAAAAAGTAAAATGACAATAAACATCAAGCTGTTATTTCAAGAATATTTATACTACATCTGCAGCCACCAACACTTTTTTCCATTTGGATGCATTTCTATTTAGTAATTCATTGGTTATTTGACTCTACTGAGATTTTATGAAAATGAAAACTAAAAACGTGAATATGCCAATATAGTCATGAGCAAGTTTATCTACTCTCTGAGTACCTGATTTGAATTGAAAGGATAAAGTTTAAGTTCCAGCTGTGCACTGATGGCTAGTGCCTGTAATCCTAGCTACTCAGGAAGCTGAGAACTGAGGATCAAAGTTTGAAGCCAGACAAGACAGGAAAATCTGTGAGACTAACTCATCTCCAACTAACTACTGAAAAGCTGGAAGTGGATCAAGTAGTAGAGCACTAGTCTTCAGCCAAAAAAAAAAAGTTCAGAGACAGTGCCTAGGCCATGAATTTAAGTACCAGCACACACAAAAGGTACTTAAATTCAAAGAACTGTAACAAGACTTGATGTAAACTAAACATTTTAAATGTTTTTTTTTAAATCTCTATAAAATTGAAGGAGGAGATTCAGTAATAGTAGACTTGGTAGAAAATTCGAAATTTCTTCCACCCAGTTCCTGATTTGGAGCCATCAGCACTACTGCAGTTCTAGAGCAAAGGCACTGGGGCCATTTTGGCAGGGTGAAGGGTAGGTCAGCTCCTCTGGACACTGCAGGTTCATGTCTCACCATGGACTCACCAAGCACATTGACTTGAACTGCCGGAGGTGGGGGTATCCAGAAGAGAACTCACTGCCAAAAGCAAAGCAAGTGGTTGCTCCTGTTCAGAGAATTCCTGTGATCATTCTACTGGGAATCAGAAATGAGATGGGAAACTACTTCAGAAGAACAGACCTGGCATAGCTGAAGACTGGCCAGGTCAATGTTATTTCTTTACCTCCTGCGATCCTTTGTTCTGCCTGGGAGCAGATTCACTATGTTAGTTTTTCCTGAAGAGTTGGCCTGGAACTCTCTGCTGGGAAACTCTGCCAAGGATCTGGGCCTTGTGCTGAATTTGACTACTGGAAATTGGAATTGGAGCAGAGAATAGTGGCTTTGTAGGTGTCAATTCATTGAGGCCAAACTACTTCAGCTCAGATCCAAATGTATCTTTGATCCAAAAGGAGAACCCAGATAGCAGTAGCTACCCAGAGCTGATACTTAAACCACCTCTGGACAGGGAAAAGAAGTCCTACCATCCACCACTTGTTCCCCATGGCTGGGAACAGGGATGACCCTTCCAGAATTCATACCACCCAGATCACAATAATTGTTGTGAATGCATATTATAAGCCCCCAGAGTTCACTCAGGACTCATACAGGGTCAGTGTTTCAGAAAACCTGTCTGCTCCTCAGTGCTAAGAGTGATGGCCACTGACCATGTTGAGATCACCTATTCCTCCATCAATATTGATAAGATAGTGGAACCACTGTTCAAGATGGACATTAAGAGGGAATCTCACCAATTGTAGAAGACTGGAGTTGATATAAGAAGAAAACCTTCACAACTGTGGTAGAAGCAAAGAACTGTGGAAGTCATATTGCACATGGTAAAATATGTACATAATTTAAATGAAAATGAGATTATCCTTGAAATTACATTCTTCTGAGTCCCAACAAGAAGATGTTGAGCTGGGGACTGATATTCACTCTGTTACAAACACAATGTATGGATTCTGAACTTAATGGAGAAATTATATCAAGCAAAAGGAAATTTCTCATTGAAAAATAGCACAAGAAATCTGTACACTGGTGACTGATGCCTGTACCCCAAGCTACTCAGGAGGTTGAAACCTAAGGATCTTGGTTCAAAGCCAACTCTGGGCATTAAAGTCCTTAAGACTCTTATCTCCAATTAACCAGCAAAATTCCATGAGTGGAGTGGTGTATCAAGTGGTAGTGTGATTAGAAAAGCCAAGGGAGAGGGTACCATGCTGAGTTCAAACCCCAGTCCAAGCATGCATGCACATGCATGCACGCGCACACATACACAAGTAGCTCAAGATATAGAATGCACATATAGACAACAGACAGAGTCCTATATGGAAAACAGATGCAAGAGTACATAGCCACTCATCAAGATGATACATCACTCTTCTCCAGCACAGGCTTCACCTTGTATATCACTAGTGTCAAAGACTAGCTCTGATTTCCCACCAGACTTCCTACATGATCTGCATGGCTAGGAACAATCCTGAAGCCTCCATCACTCAAATCAGTGTTCCTCTGTTTCTGACTTGGGACCCGATGGACAAGTTCTCTACTCCATCATAGCCAACAACCTGGAACCAAACCAAACATGCTCGGTCAGTGGGTGGAGAGGGGCATTGTAAAACAAGCCTTCTAACAACTTTGCTCCTGCATGTGCTATTTGAATGTCATGCTAGTGGGTGACTGTAATGACAATGCGCCATCTAGTGCTTGGGGTCCAAAGGAGTCTGAGGTCTTAGATACTGTAGGTGCTGTGCATCACAGAGCCCAGCTACCTGATCACCAAAGTGGTGGTAGTGAACACTTAACTGCATCCTACCTCATGCCTGCATGTCAGCAATCCTGAACTTTTCCTTCCAGGACTGTGCACTGGTGAGATTCACACAGCAACAACAGCGTTCTCTGATACCCAAGGTTAATCCTTGGCCCTGATAGGTGTGATCTTCCTCTTTGCAATGGTTCTGGCTATTTTTTGTGCCCTTGAGAATCCTCTAACCTGGCTTTTGGAAGCTACTTTTGTTTCCTCTGGGAGTCTGTAGATAAGTGTTCAGGGTTCTCCCCAACTACAGAGACTGCCTTATTCTTACAAGGTATGTGCTCCTTCACATTTCCCAAATATACCCAGTTTAAAGTTATAAATATAGACAAGCCTGTAATCCTAACTAATCCAGAGGTTGAGATCTGAGGATCACAATCCAAAGCCAGCTTGGGTAGGAACGTCCATTAGACTTGTGTCTACAGTTAAACACCAAAAAGCCAGAAGTTGAGTTGTGGCTCAAGTGGTAGAGCATGAGGCTTGAACACAAAGGCTCAGGGGACAGCACCCAGGCCCTGACCAAAACACACACACACACACACACACACACGCACACACACACACACACAAAGAGAGTTCTCAATATCAATCTCCAAAACATTCTACCACAAGATTTTTTATGTGATGAAATTTCTTGGTTTGAAAGAGCCAATAACATTCCAAACATGACTTCTATTTCAGTGTGCAAAAACTGAACTTCTTTAAATCTTTTCTCCATAAATTTAATTAAGCTTCAATTTATTAATTTAGAAATAAAAACCACAAAGGTTAAAATGCTCTAACTTCAGTTTTATTTCTTTTTTTCTGTGCATAGTAGGAGGCTCCAAAATTCTTTGCAGGCTTATCTGTGTTGTAGTTCTCTTCGTGATATTCTTAAATTCTTGCTAATCCTAAAACAATATCCTTATTAATACAGTAGTGTCTTAGAGTCAGGGGGCAACTATTTTTATTAAGCTTTCAAAGTAGCTAATCTTATAAAATAGTAAATATATTTTATATAGCCTATACATTCTCACTCTGCATTTTTAAAGTATAAACAGAAAAAATACCTCAGAGCAACTAGTAATATGTTAGTAAAAACACATAATGATTCTAAAAATCATAACTCATGGTAACAGACATTGTAGTAGATTGATTCAGTATGTGTTTGTGATTGTTTATGTCTTTATTGAAAACTGAATGTGTGTAATGCTGATGAAGTGCAGTAATTCGAAAGAAAACGGTAATTTTTCCATTAACTAAGATCCTGATTTTCATAAAAATAAGTTAAATTTTAAGAGAACACTTAAAATTATTCTTAAGAACTTTTTAATCCCTAAATGTTTCACTTTATTGGGGAGAAAATATGAATCTCATCTTCGCAGATATAATAGAAATAAAATGTGTGGTCGCTTTACAAAGTGGTGCAGTATTAAGTTAGGACTCTGAGTGTCGCTGTTCACTAACCCGGGCAAGAAAATAAAAATAAATCGGAACTGGAGAAGAAAATCGTCTAGCCATAAAGCAGATCAGACACCAAAGCTGCCCAGAAATTGTGACCTGACCTGGATCGCATCTGGCCTCTGGTTCCACAAGGACCTTGACTTCTAATTCTGAAAAGCACGAATTGATGAGATCCTGCCCTTCCTGCCACTAATCCCTGGAAGGCTGTCACAATCCAGTCATGGCAGCTCTGCAGAGGCGCCGGGACTGCGGTGAGCTACTCTGGCTTTTCATTCTCCTGGGGTGGTTGTGGGGGATCGCAGCTGGACAGATCCGCTACTCTATTCCCGAGGAATTAGAGAAAGGTTCCTTCGTGGGGAACATCACCAAGGACTTGGGAATACAATCCAAGGAGCTGGCGGAGCACAGAGTCCGCGTCGTCTCCAGAGATAGGACGCAGCTTTTCTCTCTGAATCCGCGGAGCGGCAGCTTGGTTACCGCGGGCAGGATCGACCGGGAGGAGCTCTGCGCCCAGAGCCCGCGGTGTCTCGTGAGTTTTAACATCCTTATGGAGGATAAATTGAATCTTTTTCCTGTGGAAGTGGAAATATTAGATGTTAATGACAATGCACCCAGATTCTTAAGGGAAGCATTGGAAGTAAAAATCCTCGAAAACTCAGCTCCATCTTCTCGTTTTCTGCTAATGGAGGTCTATGACCCTGATGTTGGAATGAACTCTCTCCAGAGCTTCAAGCTCAGCAGCAATAGTCATTTCTCAGTGGATGTACAAAGCCAAGCCCAGGGAACCAAGCACCCAGAGCTGGTCCTTGAACATGCCCTGGACCGGGAGGTTGAAGCCACTTACCACCTGGTCCTTACTGCCATGGATGGTGGTGATCCTGTCCGCTCAAGCATGGCACAAATTCTAGTAACTGTCTTAGATGCAAATGACAATGCTCCAGTGTTTACTCAGTCTATCTATCGCGTGAATGTTCCTGAAAATCTGCCTGTAGGTACACTGGTGTTGTCAGTGAATGCCACTGACCAGGATGAAGGCATTCATGCAGAAGTAACATATTCCTTTGGAAAGATCTCACAGATTTTCCACTTGAATGCTTTGACTGGAGAAATTTCTGTTTCTGCACCTCTAGACTATGAGGAATGCAGTTTGTATGAGTTGGATGTTGAAGCCCGAGATCAGCCTGGTCTTCAAGACAGAGCAAAAGTATTAATAACCATCTTGGATGTGAATGATAATGAACCAGAAGTGGTCATCACATCTGGAAGCAGAACCATTGCTGAAAATGCACCTCCTGGAACAGTGGTTGCTCTTTTTCAAGTTTATGATCGAGACTCTGGACAGAATGGTCAGGTAACATGCTCCATCCCCAGAAATCTTCCATTTGAATTGGAAAGATCAATAGACAATTATTATCGATTAGTGACAAATTCAATTCTAGACCAGGAACAGGTGTCTCTGTATAACATCACAGTAACAGCCACAGACAAAGGAACACCACCTCTGTCTACAGAAAAGCTCATCTACTTAAGCGTGGCGGACACTAACGACAACCCACCCATGTTCTCCCACTCATCCTACTCTGTCTATGTCCCTGAGAACAATCCTAGAGGAACCTCCATCTTCTCCTTGAAGGCACTTGACCCTGACAGTGAAGAAAATGCACAAGTCATCTACTCCCTAGCCAAAGAAACCCCCCAGGGTACACCTTTGTCTTCCTACCTTTCCATCAACCCCAACACTGGTGTTCTGTATGCATTGTGCTCCTTTGACTATGAAGAGTTTAGAGACTTGCACTTACTGGTGACTGCCAGTGACAGAGGTAACCCCCCACTCAGCAGCAATGTGTCACTAAACCTGTTCATTCTGGACCAGAATGACAATGCACCTGAGATCCTGTACCCTGCTCCCCCAAATGATGGTTCTACTGGTGTGGAGCTGGCTCCCCGCTCTGCAGAGCCTGGTTATCTGGTGACCAAGGTGGTGGCAGTAGACAAAGACTCAGGACAGAATGCCTGGCTGTCCTACCGCCTGCTCAAGGCCAGTGAACCTGGGCTCTTCATGGTGGGGCTGCACACAGGTGAGGTGCGCACAGCAAGGGCCCTTGTGGACAGAGATGCGCTCAAGCAGAGCCTGGTGGTGTCTGTGCAGGACCATGGCCAGCCCCCTCTCTCAGCCACTGTCACACTCACTGTGGCTGTAGCTGACAGCATCCCCGACATTCTGGCTGACTTGGGGCACCTTGAGCCGCCAAACAATTCTGATGCTTCAGATCTTACACTCTATCTCGTGGTGGCAGTAGCTGCTGTTTCTTGTATTTTCCTCGCCTTTGTTATGGTACTGCTGGTGTTCAGACTGCGGCACTGGTACAAGTCTAGTTTGCTGAAAGTTCCGAGTGAAGGATTTTCAAGTGTACCCACTTCTCACTTCGTGGGTGTAGAGGGGGTTCAGGCTTTCCTACAGACCTACTCCCATGAAGTCTCCCTCACTGCAGACTCTAGGAAGAGCCACATCATCTTCCCCCAGCCCAACTATGCCCACACGCTCATCAGCCAGGAGGGCTGTGAGAAGAACGAGCCTCTATTGATACAGGATGATTCAAGTTTTTGTAAAGAGGAAAACTCTTCTGTTCAGGTGAGGTCATTTCTTTTATTGTGTTTTAGAAGAGGAAATTTTAAAATGCTGTTTGATCACTGTTAAGTTTTCTCAGCCTCTTGGAGAGGGAATCATGTGTGTTATGGTTCCGCCAAAGACTCATGTAGGCTTGGACCCTGGTGCAAACTGTGTTTGGAGGCAGGGCTTTTGGAAATTGATCTTATCAATGGAGTGATACATTTGTGGAGTGAAATTGAATGGATGTTGGGAGATGAAGACTGTGAGAAGTAGAGCCTAATTGGAGAAAATTAGTTACTAGGTACATACTCTTGAAAGTTGTGCCGTTGTGTGCTCGCTCTCTCGCTCTCCCCCTCCCCCTCTCTCTGCATCCCTGCCATCATGAGGTGAGCAGCTTTGCCCTACCTCTGGGCCTTGGAATTCTGCTTCATCAAAACCTAAAAGCAATGGAATGAGTCCACCCCATTGTAAACTCTAAGACCTCTAACACCATAAACACTTTTTCTTTTAAATTTATTTGTCTCAGGTACTTTGTCACAGCAGTGAAAAGCTAATGCAATATAATCCTGATTCTTTTCCTTTATAACAGTAGATCTCTTGTGAATCTTAGTTATCTTGATTTTTAATAAAAATCCTAATAATGTAAGCTCCAGATTTTTTTTTAAACTTCTCTGTCTGGGAAATGTTCTGTGCCCTTGATTTCATATATCTCATTTCTTAGGATAATTTTTCCTACATTGTATCATTTGTGAAATCCTTTCTTTTTCTAATTTGAAAGCTTGCTATTTTTGGTACTGGGGTTTGAACTCAAGGCCTCATACTTTTTAGGCAAGTAATCTAGCACTTTAAGCCACTCCACCATCTTTGTGCCTAATTTGAAAAAATACTGAATTGCAACATCTGCTAAGTAAGAGATATTATTTTATTCTCAGCAATATGTGATAATTACAAATGTTTTCTAAAATAATGGAGATTCCTCATATGTGAGACATTTCCCCTCTTTATTTATTGGAATATTAATTATTAGAAATTAGAGTCTTAAAATAATTTCTGAAGTCTATAACAGGATATACCTGGACTTTGGTCTTTAATGACTTGAAGACAATTCCCAGAACTAAGTTTATTCATTTTAGACAGTCAAAATCTCTATGGTTTATTTAAAATAAAATTAAATGGACTTGCTTCATCCATATTACACAATTCTGGAAAAGTGAAACCTTTTTATGAAATATTTTTCAAAATATAAAGCAGTATAAAAATATTAATTGGCATTGCCATTAATCTAACATTGTTAAATAAATGTAAGTGCTTGGTAGTCTCCTTCATATATTATATTTTTGATAGTATTTGATAATGAGTATGAATATTAAATTTGTTCAGTAGTAGCAACTCATAGGAAATACTTCTAAAAGTGTAGGTCTGACTGGTGGGTGGAAGAAGGAATATTAATAGAACTCAACTAAAAATGGGTGCTGGTGGTTCATACCTGTAATCTTAGCTACTCAGGAGGTTAAGACCTGATAATCACTGTTCAAAGCCTGCCTGGGCAGGAAACGTTCATGAGATTCTATCTTCAATTAACTACAAGAAAACCAGAAGTGGCACTATGGCTCAAGCAAAAGAGATGGGGGGTGGTGGTTGGGAATGTGGCTTAGTGGTAGAATGCCTGCCTAGCATGTATGAAGCCCTGAGTACATCACAAACAGAAAAGGCCAGAAGTGGCACAGTGGATCAAGTGGTAGAGTGTTAGCCTTGAGCCAAAGAAGCTCAGGGACAGTGGGTAGGGCCCTGAATTCAAGCCCCATGACTGACAAAAACTAAAAATAACTAAGAATAAAAATGTAAATAATATAGCATTTTTAATCCAGATAAAGTAGGGCTTCTATCATATTAGAATTCTATATCCAAATATTTAAAAGAAAGGGAGATTATAATTAGTTCATAATTGCCAAAATATGCAAATACAATCATGCTGTTGAGCACAAAACATCAGTTTTTCATTGTCAAGTTTGTTCTAACAAAAATGGACTGCTGAAGAGGTAGAAGATTTGATTGTTGACATTTTTCAAAAGTAAATTGATGATGATTAGTGGAGTGTGATGACACACATCTGTAATACTAGCACTCAAGAAATTGAAGCAGGAGGATCACAAATTCAAGGCCAGCTGAGCTACACAATGAGACATATCTAAAAAGAGAAGACAGGAAGGGAAAGGAGAATGGTGAAAAGGAGTGAAGAAAGGAAAGAAAGAAGGAAGGAAGGGAAGGAAGGAAGGGAGGGAGGGAGGGAGGAAGGAAGGAAGGAAGGAAGGAAGGAAGGAAGGAACAAAGGGAAAGAAGGGAGGTTTTAAAAAGGAGGAAAGGAGGGACTGGGAAGGTGGCTCAGTAGTAGAGCGCTTGCCTTGCATGCATGAGGCCCTGGGTTCGATTCCTCAGGACCACATAAGCAAACTGAAAAAAGCCACAAGTGGCGCTGTGGCTCAAGTGGTAGAGCGCTTGCCTTGAGCTGAAGAGCTGAGGCATAGCGCCCAGGCCCAGAGTTCAGGGCCCATGACCGGACCCCTCCCCCCCCCAAAAAAAGAGGAGGGAGGAAGAAAAGGAAATATAAAAGACTGGGCATTGTGATTCATTCCTATAACCCCAACACTCAGGAGGTATAGGCAGAAGGGTTGTTTAAGGACAACTTCAGCTGCATAGCCAGTCCCTGACTCAAAAAAAAAAAAAAAAGGAGGAAGAGAAGTGAGGAGGAGAAAGAAAATAATGGTCATGGAACTTAGAAAGTGTAGGAAATTCTAAATTTAATGAGTTATTAGACTACATTGTAGCCAAGATACTATTTTTTGGTGTTGAGTTAGGTTATGCTATCTGATAATAGACTGCACTGGCTTCTTAAGAACTTAAATTTATATGCACATGTAAGAAAAACATAATTTAGGATATTTATTGAAAACGTAAGAAAAATTCCTTTGTAAGCTGTATTTGTAAAGATAACTTGAGAATTTGAGGGTGTGGCTCAGTAGCACTATACTTTCCAAACATACTCAAGGCCCTGGGTTTAAAAATAGATAAATAAATAACAATGGGTTTGCTTACTTTGCTTGAAACACTGGTTCAAATCCTATCACTGAAAAAATTGAGATTTTTGTTTGCTTCTTTTGTTTTTTGAGATAGAGTCTTATTATGTACCATAGGCTGTCCTCAAGTTTATGATCCTACTACTTGTAATTCCAAGTGCTGGGACTATAGGCCTTCCCCTCCAGGCCCAGATGGTTGGTGGTTTAAAATAGAACAAGACTAGGACATGTTTTCTTATGACACTATGATGGTATTTTTATTTCTGAATTTGTTAGGGAATGATTTATTCCAGGTTTCTGAATGCATATGGCTAAAAGTATTCATTGACAGAGAAAGCCAGGTGCAGGTGGCTCACACTTAAAATCCTTGCTACTCGGGAGGCTGAGATCTGGGAATTGTGGTTTGAAGCCAGCCTGGGCAGGAAAATCAGTGAAACTTTTACCTCCAATTAACCACCAGCAAAAATCCAGAAGTGGAGCTGTAACCCAAGTCGTTGAATGCCATCCTTGAACAAAAAAGCTAAGAAATAGTACCCAGGCCCCTGAGTTCAAGCTCAACTACTAGCACCAAAAAAATATATATTCTCACAACAGTCATTTAATCATGGTTAAATATCCTGGTGATCACAGAATTGCCTGCCCTACCCACCATATATTGAATTTTGAAATATCAGGGGAAAAAAAATCTACCAACTTAACTGAGCTGTTTTATCATCTGTGTAAACCATCCATTTCCAATCAAACTTCTGTTGAAGTGGCAGTGGTTAAAAGAAAAAGAATAAAATTACAGAATTGTTGTGGAAAACAAAGTACATCTTTACCAAAGAATAAAACCTAAGCTGAACTCCTGAAAAGCAGTTCTTGAATAAAAAAAAATGTTTCACAAGGAAAATAATGAATATAACTAACTCAATGTCTGGGAAACCAAATACACCTTCCATTTTCAAGGGAGCAAATGAAGGTTCGAATTCTTCCCAGTAACTTAATAGAATTCTGTCTTTAAAATTGTGAAATAATTTCAATGAGATATAGTTATGTTATGTTTATTAAACTTGTGTTGCCTGTCTGTCTAGTAGATATCCTCAATAATTTTATATTGTGAGCTGAGCAACGATGGCTCATGCCTGAAATCCTAGCTACTCAGGAGGCTGAGATATGAGGATTATAGTTCAAAGCCAGCCAGGGTAAGGAAGTCCATAAGACTTATCTCCAATTAACAACCATAAAAGCTGGGAAATAGAGCTGTGGCTCAAGTAGTAGAGCACTAGCCCTAAGCAAAATGAAGTTCAGGGACAATGCCCAGGCCCTGAGTTCAATCCCCAGGACCATCATAATAACATCATCATTAATAATTTTATATTGTGGAATAACTTAGAAAACTTGAATATTAGAAATAATGAAGCAATTTACTCGATGTATTTTATACAAGTATTTTATACATGGAGTAGACATATATTTAAGTAACGTTTACTTTTTTTTCAACTACAATGGTTGGCTTTTCTTCATGGGCAAGAAAGTGTGACTCCGCGCCTAAGACATTAACTAAAAAGTTGCAAATCAACTATTTTTTAAAAACTTATCAGGATTTTCAAATATTACATTGATCCAGTTGTCTTAAATTGTGTTTTAAGCATGTCCTAGATATATATGCAATTTATGAATTTTGAAATATATGAATTTTGAAGGGTAAAACAATGTTCTGTAAAATCAGTTTGTTTTGCTTCGACATGGTGCAGTAACTTAGTTAGGACTCTGAGCGCCGCTGTTCACCAACCCGGGGAAAAAGATGTGACAACCACCGAGTTCTGCAGCACAAAGAAAGGACAGACTAGACAAGCCCTCTTCCGAGCTGCATCAAACTCAAGCCTCTGGTGCTGCTGGATTCCTGGCGTCTCATCCCAGTTAGGGGAGTGGGGTCCACGCCAATTCACGCACAATAGGAGACCTCAACTAGTCTAAAGTCAAGATCTGCAGGACAATGGCGACACCGCAGCGGGCCAGAGACTACGGAGCGTTTGTACTGCTCTCCATCCTTCTGGGGACCTGCAGGGAATCCTGGGCAGGAAAAATTCTCTACTCTGTGCCTGAGGAGACAGATAGAGGGTCCTTTGTTGGTAATATTGCCAAGGACTTGGGACTGGAACCCCGGGAGCTGGCGGAGCGCAGAGTCCGCATCGTCTCCAAAGGTAGGACGCAGCTTTTCTCTCTGAACCCGCGAAGCGGCAGTTTGGTCACCGCGGGCAGGATCGACCGCGAGGAGCTCTGCGCCCAGAGCGCGCGGTGTCTGGTGAACTTTAATGTTTTAATGGAAGATAAAATGAATCTTTACCCTATAGAAGTGGAAATAATGGATGTTAATGACAACAGTCCTAGATTCTTAACAAAAGAAATAAATGTAAAAGTAATGGAGAATACAACTCCTGGCATGCGGTTTTCCCTAAATGAAGCTGGAGACGCAGATGTGGGCAGGAACGCGATCCAGGGGTACCATCTGAGTCCCAATCGTCACTTC